TGACCATCATTCTTCTCCTGATTATATCACAGACATAGCAGAGATCAACAATCAAAACCCCCGAAAATTCCTCAGAATAGAATGATGCTGGGATGCAAGCCATTAAAAGAGGTCATTTATCTAGATGTCGGCTGGCGACAAACTCCATTGGGAGTAGCAAAAAGAGGGTTTCAGTTAATAGGGCTGTGGTCAATTCAACCCTAACAGATTTAGAAAAAAATGAGTTTTTGCCTCAGTAGTAATTTTTCACCATAGTGCGTTCTTTATAAATAACGAAGAAACACAGAAAACAATACCTGCGCAAGGGTTTCAGCAATATTTGCAAGGCACAATAGCATCAAGGGTATGCCGATCATTGCATATATTATCGTCATTAATCGCCCAGTGTCCGTTTTAGGGCAAATATGGCCATATCCTAAATTTGAAAAGACTACAAAAAAAAGGAAAAAATCAAACATAAAGATTAAAAAAACAGATAAACATGCTCAAATAAGCCGAATGTTTTAGAACCTTGTATTCCTACCTATAGTTGTAAAAACAGTGATGGAATAGAGTAATGCTCCAGAGAACGTCCATTGGTAAGTCGGCCGCGTATCGTCATGTTCGTCATAACCTAAAATAAAGGTAGATCATGAAAGATTCAGCTATTTTTCGCAGTAACTGAACAAAGAAGGAGACCTACCTATACTTACTTTCATACCTATACATGATTTTCTATGCTATTCTGTCGATGATTTTACTGATCTTTCCTACTTATAAAGTATGATAGATCGGTATCATCGACAATCTGAGGATAAAGAACCGACCTTCAAAATTTACAGCCTCTACGAGCAATTTCTCGTAGCGTTTGAACAAACGATGAGCTTTACTCTTCACTTCAGCCTCCTCAATCACTGTGCTATTGTTAATGAAGTCATACAATTCATGAACCACCTAAAGGAGATTTAGACTCTTGGGTTTCTTTAGCAGTGAGTAGTACCCCGACACTCACATTCCAAGTGTCGTTCTTGATATGACCCTGGAATTCCATCTCTTTTGGATATTCGATGGCTTGGAACATGAAAGCGCCGACCACCGCATAAACGGCCACCATAAAGCATAAGCCAACATGGGTGACGATAAATGCAGTTGCCTGAAATTGTAACTTTAAGTGTTTTTTTTTGAGTTTTTGAAATTCAGCTCTTTGTCCCGTTATCCTTGAACACTGCCCCTTAATTCTCAATGAACTATACTCTGATAGTCATGCGCGAACTTCCAGGAGTACGATTGCGTCAACTAATGAAGAAATGGAAATGTAGAGAAATAGTCTGCACTACCATATTCAACCACTTGTCAAGTACATTATTTGATTTGAAATAGTTAAAGCACTTCACAAAGCACTCAACTATGACATCTGGGGAATAACTCCGCACAAGAATACTCTGAATGTGTCTGCAGTGTCTAAGATCTCAATTCTGTCCAGGGACCTGCACATAGGGCAACAAAGTTCGGATTCAGTTCCTCTGAAAAGTTTTTGACCCAAAAATAAGAGTTGTCGATAAAAAGAGTATCCTTTATCAAAAGTTGTTTTTAGGAAGGAGATCTTCAGACTTTTGCTTGTAACTTTTAGAAACTAGGACAAACTTTGATGTACCTGTCATTTCTTTAGCAAAGTCTCATTAAGAATTATGCCTTTTCAACCATTTAATTATCTAAGAAGCATTCACTGTGAAGTCAAGATGTCATCTATGCGCAATATGTCCAATTTGGACGTTACTCGTGATGTGTGAATTCAATTTTTTCCTTAGAACAATTGACGGATATCCAATCTGCGATTTTCCGCTCTGGACCAAGCCTGATATTTCCTACTCAAAGTCAAAGCATAAAAAGTAACAAAACATGTAAAATTTGATTTGAAAAACTGCTTTGAGGTTTCAATTTCCACGGATTGGTTTGCTTGGAGAAGAAAACAATTTTCTTTCCGATTCATGGGTATGTTCCACAGAAGAACAATTAAGAGCATGCATTTAGTTAGGTACTGGCTGGAAAGAAGGGAATACTGTCCAAATAAACTCCTACGTCAGAATGTTACACATTCGAATACTCCAATTAACTTAAATTCTAAATCTTTCCGCCACTGCTTTACTCATCACCCCTTCCAGATCTATTCGACTCTCATTTTCTAGCGCACTTTAACTATGCTCTTCCAGCGTTTGCTCGCATTCTTCGAAACGACGGGCAACTGCCAAAGCTCCATTGTCTTCGCCACCTCCTCTCCGGGGACATCACCACATGGACCTCCTCTGTGGCAGCGGAGCCAATCGATTTAAGTTATGGGCTTCAGAAACTATGCATTCCATGTCGGAACATTTCAGTGACATATGAAATTAAAAAGTCAAACATAAAAGTACCA